TCATAATAGTCATAATAGTCATAATAGTCATAATAGTCATAATATTTATTGCTTATTAACGCTATCCACCACCATCTTGAGACAGCACGGTTAGCATTGTTGTTCCTGACGAAGACACAAATACTTCCGCCTGCTGATACAGGCTACCTTAACTATTCCAGCTACGTGCTTGAAAGTCCTTCAAAGCGAAAGCCGATGTATGCCTGTATATTCGGGCGGATGTTTGTTGTCGCTGTGTCCGCGAAAGATCTCTCCTTCTCCAAGCTGGGGGTACACGTCAACTCTGGTCCCCTGGTCAGTCTACCTCTACAGTTCCCACACCGGCGATGTTGAGGCAACTCGAATATTTGAGCACCTTAGTCAGGCAGCAGATGATGCGCTCAAGCGCCTTCTTTATTGGACCTTCTGCTCACGACCCATCCACAGGGCTATCAGGTTGTGGTGTAAGATATCTGCCAAAGCACCACAGGCCAAGTCCTCGCGTCCAGCGGTGGTCAAACGCCGTATCTGGTACTATGGGTTGGCAGGTTGGTAAGGTATGCTTGACTACTTTGCGTTCGGCTCTTGGAAGCAGCACTGCTTAAGTGACAGGGATCGGCCAGCGACGTCTCTATTACTGAAGAGATTATAATGGGTATGGAATATTATATTCCTCATTCTAATCTTCATAAGTATGCTGAACCTGATTTGCGTAAGTGAGCGGTATATCGTGCTTGGATCAGAGGCCACGCTCTTAAGGAACCCGAGGTCGATTCAATAAAAGCAGCCTACAATTTTGCTTCCAAGGCCTGTAAGAAGGCTTACATCGGAGCGGATGCCCAGCGCATAGCACGTGTTGGTCACGAACTTATAACGCATCCTACGGACTCCTGTAGCTATTGGCGTTTGGCCTATACCTTGTAGAAGAACTTCTGCCAGCCCTCGCTGCCACACTGCTCATAATCCACAGGAGAAAGACGATTTACTGGCAAAACACTTTGCAGCTAACTCCCGGATTGATGATTGCATTGCAATGCCACCATTATTACCTCATTGTGGCAAAACGATGCCTGATATTAAAATAAGGGGCGGCGCGGCAATCAGGTGGGCTGGAGTCATTTGTCAGACCTATCTGCTTAAAAAAAACTACAGCTTTAGAATTGAAAATCGAACTAAATACCTGGTTCTAGAATGTCCATTTTAAAATGTGATACCTAACACTTATAAGAAAACTTGTGAGATAATCAAACCAATTCTATCAATAATTCAGTGCGCCGTTGTTCATTATTCCACTCGAATTGAAATATCGTTCTCATATTTCAAAATTAATTTGACGGATATAGTAATTGGCTATATAGAAATCGAATTTATTTATTTTTATTGCTATCGGAGCCATAATAGTGTTTTCTTTAACAACCATTACTTTTATTATGATTATGTGATGTTGGTGGAAATTAATGTTTTATTATAACAAGTTGTCACCGTAATGTAGACACAAAAATCCTTCAAGATTTTTATGATTTATTGTTGTGATTTAGAGTTAAGTGTGAATGATGTATTTCATAAAATTTGAAAAGCGAAATATTTGGTGAGTCCAAAACGTCTGTAAGTATCTATAATTAAAAAAAAATGTTTTTAATCTGTAACAAAACCAAAGAAACTCTTTTTTTTTTACTTGTCGGGGATAAATTATATTATGGATGATATTTCAGATGATCAGTCAAACGCTGCTTATTCTTACTTTCATTAGACAAATAAAATTTGTTTGGAGTTGCTTTGGAGACAAAGCCACTGCAAGACTCTATAGACTCTTTTAGACTCATCACGATCTAGACAGAGTGTTTATTAGACATATCTATTGCATCAAAAGAATATCAGTAGAAGTAACAAATGTAGTTATTCCAGTTTTGCTCGATAAACTGTGGCGGCGGCGACGGTCGGGCGGCGTCGCGACGGCTGACCCAGCAGCCCCCATTACATGATGAGCAGACGCGGGAAACGGCTTAACTTCGTAAATTTTTATGTGTGTACAAGCACTCAACTCTCTGAATGGAATAATCCCCGTTTTCCATATGTAAACGATACCGTAAACGGCGTTACTAGATAATGCAAACAAGCACTATTCGTTTTTCTTTTGTGACATAGTATCGTTGAAATGTTTGCTAACAATTATGGTAGCAATTTTTATAGCTGATGATAACAAGTGTCAAAATAACTAGATAAACATCAGTAAAAATGTGAGTTTAACCAAACATGTCCGTCAACATCATAATTCTGACGACGCAACCTAAAAAGGATGCCAAACGTCAATAAACAAATAAATAAGTACATTTATACAGTTGAAACTTGTTTTTTTAATGTCGGTTTGTGTTAGACATTTGTCAATATTTAACTGTATTAGAAAGCGTAATATATAACAGGCATCTGAATGTTTTTATTTATACTGGTTTACCATAGCGGAAAAAAATTTCAGAAAATTTTACTGGAAGAAACCCACTCTACCCAAGTGTTGGGTTGGGTTAGTGCGTCCAACCAGTGCCTTCCGCTAAACAGAGCAGTTCATGACATATGGATTTTTTAATTATAAGAATATTTAGATCCAGATTTGTAATGCTTCAAATAAAATATTATTTAACTATTTTCTTATTATTACATTTACACACTAATTCAAAAATGCAAGACTCTGGTGTCTGCCTTCAGAGTTATTTGGGCACATCGCTAGAGAATATGGCAAAAATATTCTGGTGCTTACTGATAGTGGATTTTGTTCAGACCGACAAGGCGAAGATTACTGGGATGGCACATTTTCTTGCACGTTTACATTTTATGGATTTAAGTGGTTAGCACGTTCTGCCTGCGATTATGGAAGATAAGCAACTTTTGCAATGGCCAGTCATTGAGGGGTAACCAGAAATTTAATATCTCTGCATCTGCAGTGACCCACCAACCCGCATTAAGCCCGTGTGGTGGGTCATGGCTTAATCTCTTTATTCCATTAGGGAGGGATATTAAAAGACTGACAAAAGTCGTGATAATGGATTTATAACATCATTATTACAATTTTAAAGTAAAATTCACCAAACACAGACACAAACGTTTCAAACGACCACATGGTCCGCCTAAAAGCAAAAAGTCAGCGTGAAGTTTGAACGTCGCCAGTACTAAGAGTAGCATACGCGCGTCTTCGAGGCCGCAAAAACTTCTTCACGCCTCTTTTAAAAAACATATACTGTATATCTATACTTTTGGGAAACCCTTATAGGAAATGTACAGCCTGTTATATCTGAGGTCTTTATATTGACAATGGATTTAATTAATTGCTAACTAGCCTGTTTTCTGCTTCTGTATATTGCAATACAGTAATGTTCTCTAACTTTCAAATTTTCCTCACCACAAATAGGTCACATGGCTGTTTATCGCCCTTTTGATATACGGTTACCATAGCTTGGGCGAATTGATACTCATTCAAGTGCGTGCTGCTCACCCTGATTCCCCTACGATTAGTATGCTTTTGGTGTTGTTTTCTGTGATTGACGCTAAACTTCCTCAAACGGGCGGTTTCAGAAATCGAATGGAAAATCCACTGCGCTCTACCGCTCGTAGTTGTCAAAACTAAATTATTGTTCTTTGAAAACTTAGGAAAACACGGTGTACCAACACCCGAGAAACACCTGAGAATAAATCAAGGTCTGTTAACAAACTCAATCGACAGCGAGCTACGGAGCCACACGTGTGGAAATCTTCCCCACGGGGAATTTGGTGACCGTCATTCCATTAGCGAGAATCTGCTTATAGTCCCCAGACTAATTGTACCTTGTCTTGTCGTACATTCCTGACGTAAATTATTAATATTAAACAACTAAGACAACCAGTGCGCTTTCGATTTCTCTGACACAGTGGTATTAGTAGTGTTACCAAATCTCCAAGTTATTCGTCAGAAGTGTGGTGCACAGTTTATAAGAGAGGTCCACCATGCACCCTCATGGTGGACTTTTCGCTAAAATTGGAGCGCCCATCCGGGGAAGTAACCTTTATTATGTCTGGTAAATTTCCTTACGGATCCTTCAATCACCGGGGGAGTAAAAAGTTCATATCAATCATCGACTATATACTATCTGAAGATTTCTCCCTGGCCATTTCATCTAGCTTTTAAGCTTGATGAAATGAGCACGGCCCGTAAATACCAGAGGATACTACTGCACCGTTGACCCGACACGCATTTTGAGGACCCCGGTCCACTTAATGCGCGGAATGCGGGTAATGTTGCGGCAACTGTCTCCGACTGATCCCGCACCCGTAAAGTCTACGAACGGACCCACTCCGACGACGATGCCCCGAAGCATTAGAGAAATCGTCATCCATCATCCATAGAGCTTATGCAATTCGAGCCCGTCATCCGGGGAAGTAGCCCCAACCTTACAGAAAATCACAGTGTAATAACACAAAATTTTGATGATGTTGTGGTTCTATCAATGACAAGTGCAATAATATATAATTATACCAAAGAATGTAACAGAGCGTCGTTAATAGTCATAACCGAAATTACGAGTAATGAAATCCGCTTTATATTGTGACTAATTTTCTAAGTAGTCTTAGGATAATTTACACACTACATCATATATAAAAGATAAGCACTTTGCATTATATTTAGCTTTACTTCATTACAGCATGATGTATATAGATATCCCTTTAATTCTGCTTTACTTTGTTATATTGTATTTAATAGGTATACAAAATAGCTATGTCTTTATTGCTCTAGTCTAGTTTGTCGTATGCTATAACATCGTATTGCATGTATGTGCACATTATCCGTGAGAGGGCAAGTCTCAAGCAGGGCATTATTGTGATGCGATCTTGCACAAACAGCGTCTAGAGAGCTCTGAGAGTCCAGCACTCCACTTGCATGATACCGCAATAACACTCGCTCCACTACAACCCATTACCATCGAATGCATAGTGCATTTAGACTTTGAACACCCAACAGTTTATTTTATAACTACTGAAAATATCATTTACAATAAATGGGTGGGCTGGACTTTATACAGAACGGCTCATTAACTATTGATGTTGGGTGAGTATAGAACACCTAATGCAGCTGCGACCAACGGCTTCTGTATTATACGAAGCTCGCAGAAACTTTTGACCTAGCCGATGATTCACTCAATAAATGTGAAATGTAGACTACTGTCTATCGAATATGTGCTATTGTTTTGCGAAGACCTTGCCTGAAAAAACATCATAATAATGAGAACAAAAATTCCGCCTTTAAATACCCGACAAAAACCTAGGCTGGTTGTCTCCGCGTAGGAATTTCAATTCGTGCAATCCACCAAGAACCCACCCCATTCGGCGAGGCGAGTTATTCTTTGGTTATTCGTCTTTTGTCTTATTTTATTATGCTGCTGCTCGGTGGGTCGGCGATAAAGGCTAGCGAGACGGCTTGTCTGCCAGTTGCCGGTTTTCTCGCCCTTGTTTATCAGGGGTCGGGGCGGCGTGCGGCGCCCCGCGGCAGTGACTGTTTCGCCCGCCCAGAGATGGGACGCCCGTCCTCGCCGCCGCGAACCACGAGCGCGCACTTCCGACTCTCCCGCAGGTGAACAAATGTGACGACGAAATGACTCTTTTTGTACATTTATATTGGATATGCATAGCTTTGTTGGCCGTGTGCTGCACCGGCTGGGCGGGCCGTCCAGGTGAGTTGCAATTAGCATTTTTATTGGTTCCGGAAGTTGGAAACTTTTTGTTGTCACTTACGTTGCGCTGCCGTATAAATTTAAGTTGTGTTGCAATGTTTACAACTTCTCGGCATTATTTGAGGAGCCCTTCAAAAGTTTTTCTGATACATAATGCTTTTTATAATTAAATATCAGACATACTTTTGTTATTGACTCACGTCTACAACACATATAAATTAATAATGTAACTCGCTGTTAACGAATACAAAACTACATTAAAGAAATACCTTCTTCTTAATTGCAAATTCTTTGTTTAATTAAATAAAATAACAATATAAGTAATTAAAAATTTGCAGAGCAGCGTCCTAACTTTCACGTCCCAACTTGACGTCACAAATCCAAAGTTTTCAAATGAAAATATGAAAAGTATGTATTGGAAATTAATTGTTCTACTTGTTAGGTTATATTCGTTGTCTTCCGTTGTAATTTTCCTGTTCCATTATTGTGAAATATGATTATATCAAGTGTTTCTTTAAACATTGTATGTATGTATATTATTACGTATTTGAGATAAACAACGTTTTATACAAGTTTATCTCTTCACGTACCACAATTTTCTCAATACTGTTTTACTATTTGACGTATTAGACTATTTTATTTTATTTAGTTATAATAGGTTTATTTTATTTGAAATAACTCTAAGTTATAAATCTTTATAAATAATATGCAGTCCCGAATAGCATTAAAATTCTTTTATTTAAATAAAGTATCTTATTATTATTGAATTTATTTTTAATATCATTGTTTTTATTTATTACTAACTTATACATCAAACTATCATAAAATATGAGCCTGAATAATATCTTAACGTAAATTTACTTTCTTATTAATATATTCTCTACCTTTCATTATTAAAATAAATCTAAATTAAGGGTATATTGAAAGGACAAACAAACCTCAAACCCCAGACCTTGAATCTTAAATTAATCACCTTGATAAATATTCACTCTTTGGCTAATATATAATGTATGTTACTTAATACCTAAGTAATTTAATATAATGATAGGCCTTAATATAATAATACTTAACGTGTACATACTTTAAAATTTTAGGTGACGTATTTTAACTTAAATCCTTGAACTTGAACAAAGAAATGACAAATAGAGATTTATTATTTAAATTTAATATTATAATCCTCATAACATCACGGTAACTAATGTTTAAATTGAATGATTTCTAATTTTTCCAAAAACTTTAAATAAATGCTAAGCAATATTTATTCTTGTAGTAAACCGCCACCAATAATCAGGTAAGTAATTGTAACTCTAGGAGATACATACTCTTAAGTTTTTCTACTTGCAAAATTACGCGCACAATATGAAGTACACTGTCATTTTTCCAACTATCAACTATTTGCATCATCATTATCAGCCCTCCTATTCTACACCAGATCCTGAGAATGGCTCATAACAAACCATACTGGCCCAGTGCGGTCTTGTGGATTTCTGGGGTGCGAACGACTGCTGGCGCCAACTGTACTAATGGCTAATATGCTTACCGAAGCACAGAGGAGATCAACAAAATAAAATTATGGTCTACTATCCTATAACCACCTAGCGAAAATTTCTGAACCGCCACAATGGCAGACAGAAAGCGCTAATCACTGCGCTCACTCATCGAGCGCACGATCGACTTCATATATCGCAACTGCAGCCGTCAACCCGTCGACGTCAGCCACGAACTAGCCGTCAACCCGCCCGTTGATATGGTGACGGCTACCTTCGACCCCTCCACGGTTGACGGCTCGTCGGCGACGGTCGTCGCCATACTGAGGGCAGAAGTAGACCACCACACATCGACCACTGCCGGCTGTGAACCGCTCGTATATATGAATCCTTAATAATGTATTAAAGCTAAATTTCTTTAACTTACTTTGGCTATGTATTATAAGACTTAATATTAAGTACCAGAATTAAGAGAAAAACGTAACGTAAAACATACATTGGATTTGTTTATGTATGTCTGTCTGTTATTGTATGAAGTACGTGAATTATCCGGAGTATTTAGTTTAGCAAAAAAAATCAAAGGTAACATTGTATAATCTTGGATACAAAGCTTGTATATAAAGTAGCATTATTATGGAAGTAGAGTATAGTATAGCTCATAGTTACCCAAATATATTTAAGGAAATACAATAATTGCGATTATGTCATGTCTTTCTTATCGCAGTAGAAAGTTTTATTGAAAAGATAAACCACTCGCAACTTCAAAATCTAATAAACCTAACAGAGACACTCTCAATTATGCAAAAGTATGAGACGGCGCGAAGACGGCTTCGGATAAAGTGTAAGCTGCTTCAAAAGAAAGATTTATTCAAGGGGCCTGGAGTCGATTCATGAGGAGTTCCCGTTTCTAGAACATAATTCAGTTAACAGGAGGGAAAGAATCACAAACAACGAGGGTCATGACGCGATGTCGAACGGCGGCCGGTCGCTGAGCAACGGCTATTGATGTATTACATAATTGAGATGAGTTATGACAAAGTAGGCATGAATAATATTGCCGCTGGTTTCGGTGCAATGAAACTTTATGGGAACATAGATAGCTGTGCCCATTAAGCCGATAAAGACAAATCGTATTAGGAACTCTACTTTTTATCCGAGTCATCACGATAAATGTATTCAACAAGGAACTTACAGACCAAATGAGAAGCATTTCCTTTTTATAGCAGTAAAATTATGATGATTACCTACCGATCAACTTTTGACCAATCGTTAATATTTTTAATACCTATATTCTTAAGTTTTAAATAACCAATTTGATCTATTAGTGACTAAAGCAAACCTTTGAATAAATTATATATTTCATAACGATAATATAAAATATATTAACTAATACAACGTGCACTTTGCGTAAATGGCGCATGTTGCTTAGACTATTTTGATGACTATTATTTTGTAAAAGATGAAGATCTATGTACAGAAATGGGCAACGCCTCAGATTACAGAACTAAAGGCAAATGGAGCGCATGGTACACAGATTGCGTGCCACTAAAGCAAATATCAAGTCAAAAACGAATATCAACTCGCGCCAGTACACGACACGCATCGTGTTGTGATTACGTCCCGTGAATATTAAGTTTTGATCAAACTTGTTCAACATTTATAAACTACTCAAAGATCAAATCGATTCTTTTGCGCTTTAAAGTACGAAATCTATTTTTTTTTATATATAGATAGGTCCGACACATGACTCCACCCCACCTGATGTTACGTGAAGGTGAAGTTCAGACGCAAAGATAGCTGATACAGCAGTTCTATCTGCCACACCAGCCATCCTCACCCTGCCGGCCTGCATGTTGCTTCTTCACGCCTCTTTTAAAGGATCCCAGGTTGTAAGAGGGAGGGAACACGTGAGCGGGCAGAGCATTCCATTTACGGATAGTGCGACATCTTTGTCGCACTATCCGTAAATGGAATGCTCATTTCTTAATGAGTCACCAAATTTCTTTGTACGCGTTGGAATTGTAGCCTCAGTTAGACGGTGACATCTTTCGTGAACCGTGTGCGTATGCGTATGTGGTCCTCTCGCAAGCGATTACTGTTTGTTCCTCCTCCATTCACTAAACTAAACAAGCGAAATTTCTTTGTTTATCGTTCCACCAACAATTATAATAATAACTTCAATAACAGAGTATAGTGGCAACATAGCCACAAATAATGAGAAAAAAAACATTGTAAAAACTGTTTACAAAGACAAAAAAAGGCTTTACTTTAGACTTTGTATTTGCTTTGGTGGACACACTTGCGTGTTCCGTGCGTTCCATCTGCCTTTTGTTCTGTAAGCTTAGGACAGCGCAATATTCTCTTTTCTATACTTATAATAAATCTGTAGAGATGTCAATTCTGTACATGAAATATATTTTTAAAATAACTATCAGGGGGTAATTAGTGATCGATACTGATGCCAAAAATTCAATCAGTAAAATTTTTGTCTGTCTGTCTGTCTGTGTGTATGTTCCTTATAGAAACAAAAACTACTCAACGGATTTTAACGAAACTTGGTACAATTATTCTTCATACTCCTGGGCAGGTTATAGTATACTTTTCATCACGCTGCAATCAATAGCAGCAGAGTAGTGAAGGGAAATGTTGGGAAAACGGAAGAAGTTACTCCATTTTTTAATTTCCGTCGCGGGTGCAGCCTTAATGGTTAAAGTTACATAGAAATCATGTATGACGGAAATATTCTACATAAAGTTGTCTAAAAAATATCCCGCAACAGCATATGTCTATCTTTTATGGTTGACTCATAATAACACGTGTAATTATATAAATAAAGTCATTCTTTATAGCACAAGCCTGAGAACAAAAACTATAGTTTACACTAGCTCTACACCGAAGCGAAGCGAGGGCGGGCCACTAGTCTAAAATATAAAATAAGTAGAGGATACGACAATAATTAAGGAGTATACATATATGTAAGTAATTTCGATTTCAACAATCTACCTTTCTCATAACTACCCGATCTAGTCAATAATTAACTTAAAATTACGTTGACACTAAAAGTGTACAGACTACTGATATAATTCTTGATTTCCCACTATATTTAGGTATGACAATTATATATTATTAACTCACAAATAAATTCACTTCCTGTGAAGGACACCCGAGAGTTGAGCGTAAGTAATAAAAATGGAAAGCTTTTTAACTAGACCCTGTAATGAGAAATTTAAAACGGCTAATTACTGGAGGAGACAGTTTTGATTTGGTCATTATTTTCCACGGAAAGAACTCCTTGTTAGTACAACTTTATGTTGATATATTTGACGGAATCCCAGTGAAGAGATACTTAATCTTAATGGGGCTTTTGAGCTAATTCTGTAGTTAAACAATATTGAGTGTTTGCGCGTCTCTGATTTTGGAGACAAGGTAAACATTGCTAAGCATATCTCACACCAATCATCCTAGCCCCCAAGTACAAGCAGTACAGTAAAACTTGTGTTATGGGATATTAGG